CCAGGGTTGCCCTAATGACAAGTAGAAAGATGAGCATGAGAAGTGGGACCTGAGTGTGCCTCCCCATCTACCGCAGGTGTCCAAAGCGTTAAAGCGTTGGCCCAGCCATGCTGGGTGGACCCAGAGATGTGGCATGCCTTCTCCCTGTCCCAGAGTGATTCACAGGCAAATTGTGATGGAGACCCACTTCTGTATTGTGCAATCAATTTAGTGTTGTTTTTCTTTTTAAAGAAACAGAAATGAACTTAATAGAAAATATCAGAGCACATTACCACATGAAACTTGTTGGGTAAGTGTATGAAGCAGGTTGCCATGTAAAATAAATTTTTAACCAACGGGATCTTCCTTGGCTCTGTCTCATTCAATGTTTTTAACAAACACATTGAAGGCTTGTTTATCCAATCTGCAGTCTCAAAGCCGGGAGGCATAGCTAACATGTCAGATGGCCAAATCAGGGTCAGCAAGAAAGTGAACTCACTTGAAGATGAGTAGAAACTATAACAGGATGAAATCTTAACAGTTGGGCATACATAAAATCCCACATTTGTGTTCCAAAAATTGACTATGTAAGTGCGTAATGGGAAAGTGATTTGACAGTAGATCATGCAAAAAAGACCTGAGGCTGTTAGCTGGAGTGAGTTCCACATGAACCAATGGTATAGCAAGAAAAGTGGAGTGTCCCTAAGAAGAGAGGTCAATACCCCAACTCAATTCAGCACTGCTGTCACCACGTCCTAATGCTTTGCCCAGATGTGGCTGCCTCATCATGAGAGCACATAAAATCATGATGAGGAAGGGTCCTAAATTAATATGCACCTGAGCATGAAATGAGATGCCATGATGTCTTAATGAGCTTCCCATCTTGAAAGGACTATCAGGTGAAAGTAGATGCCAGCCAGTTAGTTCTTTGTGGCCTGGAATGGCAGTTTGGGCCTGTCATTGATGGACAGGAATAAAAGGGAAGGTTTCAGCTTAATTTTATGAAGCTCTACTATAAAGAAAACTGAGTACCCTGAGGCCCAAAGGGATGGGAGAAAGTTCTCTCTTAGAGATATTCAGAAGCTCAAAGGTGTATCTGACAGAGGACTCCTGCCTAGGGGATTTATGTGTTGGAAGAGGGAGGAGGCAGAGGATGGAACAGTCTGGTTCCAAACCCAGTTCATCATCAGAATCACTAGTGTTGCTTACTTAAAAAATAGATTCCATCCTCATAGTAGACCTCCTGAATCAAAATCTCAAGAATGTGGCTGGAGAATCTATATTTTTTTGAAGCTCACCAGGCAGACCGTTCTAGATTAAGAGACTAGATATAACACCATAAACCTTGCATGGAAACCTGGATTTTTTTTTTAAGTATAAAAGACATTTGGGAACACCTTGGCAAATTTTAATAGAAACTGTTTATTAGGTGATATTGAATTCTTTGTAATTTTCTTAGATATATTTTAGAAATATAGGGGAATGTCATTATTCTTAGGTAATACAAACCGAAGTATTAAAAAGTGTCACATCTACAACTTACTTGTTTTCTAAAACTAATTACTTTTAAATGGTTCGAGAAAAAAAGAGAAAGTAATGAGATAAAACATTGGGAGAGGGACAATCATTGTACTTTTTTGACTTTTCTGTAGGCTTGAAATTTCTCAAAATAAAGTTGAGGAAAAAATTAAACAACCAGGTTATTGTCATGTGAGCCAAACATGAGGCCCATTGAACAAGATAAACTCTGCTATTCCATCTAGCTTGAGAGCCTGGAGCCTGACGTGAAGCTGATTGCGTTCTTTGTGGTTTACAGAGCTGGAAGTTCTGTGCTGGGACAGTGTCACAGCTGAGACTGAATCTTGCAGTGTGACATTAAGCCAGAGTGACCCCTAGAGGTACTCTGAGCACTCAGGGGCACACCAGCTCGGCCACAATGGCATGTTCAGGAGCATGAAAGAGAAGCCCATCCACATAGCCACTGCCCTGAATTCTAAGGGGCCCATGTCAAAATGCAGTTCATCTTGCTTGGCCCTCTCTGATGATCTGCCAGTTGGTCCCTGAAGGTGAGGCTGGGCTAGATAAAGGATCACTGGATCCCTGATAGATAATTTCCAAGAATGATGACATCCAACAAAACAGGCCAGATTGACAGGCTGGGCATGGAGGCAGGCAGGAGCAGGAGTTCCATGCCTGATGTGCAGTCAGCCCTGACCAGTGCCACCAGAATGAACTAGAGGATTCAGGAGGCACATGGGTGTTCCAGGAAGGCCCAGGAGGAAGGGGACACAGGGCAAAGGCATGAAGCAGGGAATAGAACAGCAGACCTGGGTGCAGAGATAGGTTCAGGGATGGACTGCTAATAGGAAGTTTGCGATTCATAGAGTTGATGTCAGTGACACTTAGATACCTACAAGGATGAGGCCAGGAGACACAGATGACATGACAACATTCAGGGTCATTCCAAGTATAGGGCTCAGCCTACAACTCTAATCAAAGGCCTAAAGGTGGGCCAAAAGTTTTCAGCTGTTTGAAGGTCAAAGTGCGAGGGCAGAAATGCTAGCAAGTGCTTAGGGGTCGATACCCATCCTCCTAACCTTTGCAACTTACTGTATAAGGTCCACCTCTGCTGCATACATCATTGGTGAAACAGCCCCAATCCAGAGCCCAAAGAATTTGGAGTTTCACAATAAAGATGTCACTGGGAGTGGAGAAAGATGAGGGAGGAAGCACCTTCATCCACAGATGGGGGCTTCCAGCAGCAGGGCCCATCGGACTGGCAGTTTCTCCAGAGCAGCCCTTCCCTCAGAGCACGGCTCTTTGAGGGTAAAAAGGACAGAAGGCAGAGAATCTCTGGCAGAGGATCTCCCAGAGAATCCAGCTGGACGCAGGGAGGTACTGACTGGATGGTGATCTGCTCAGGTTTGCTTGGTAGTTGGACGTTTCTCTGATCTGTGTCTAGAGGGACACATCTGATGCCAGGGGGGGGCCTAGGAATCTGCTGCACCAGAATCCAGAATAATCAACAGCCACACCAAGGGGTCTGAAGTGATCTGACCCAGAAGGAAATTCTAAGCTCTAATCAATATTTACATTTCAAGTTTATTTGGGGTACTCTTAAATAAAAATGTTGAGATAACAATTCAAGCATCACTGCTATATACCAATAAAATTTTTACATATAAAAAAGAGGACAGACCACAATTTTGTATTACAAACTCTCAAATCTATTTTTAACAATGACCAGGTAGCATCTTTCACAGGAAATAAAAACCTAACACACTTTAACTTATTGATCTAAAATCAAGATTCTCTACCATCTAAGTGGAGAGGCAGGAGTGAGAAGAGCACAAGAAATAACTTCTAGGCTGCTGGCAGTTCAGGTGAGCAGAGTAGAGCAGAGCATAGTGACAGGGGAAGGGAGTCGCAAGCTTGCCTCTGGAGATGGGCAGGCAGCGCCTAGGACTTACCCTACACAGCTGCCCCCTCAGGCTCCTGAAGAGACACTCAGGTCCCACCATCACCTCTCCTATGAGGAAAGGAAATAACAGACTGGTCACAGTGACATTTTGGCTCTATATGCCTGAGAAAAGGAGGACTGGTACAAGCTAATGGGGAACAGTGTGATAAAACAGAACGGTATTAATCAGGCTACTGTGTTCTGACCCCTCGACTTTTTTTTTTTTACCCAAATAAAGGAGCAGAACAAGGTCAATCATCATCATCTTATCTTCATCTTAAAGCCTTGGCATTTTTTAGAGACAAACACAAAAACACCACAAAAATTGTTCTTGTAATACCACTTGGAAAGACAGCAGTAATATGACACATTTAGATAAGTTCTATGTCCCCAAAACATTTTACTGACTATACTTATGAGTGTCCATAAAAGAACTCCATGTGAACTCAAATCTACAGAGATTTGGCTCAGAGAAACAGCCACCATTTCCCCCAAAGATAACTGCCTTTGGATCTTTGGCCCAAAGCACCCCCTGCCCTATGCTACCCAGGTAGTCCAGCAGGCACAGAGGCAAGCAAATCATAAGCTGATGACTCTATGCGCACAGATCCTTCTTAGGTTCTTTAATTTTAACAAAAGCTCATCTGGAAAGCAAGGAACACACTGATTTGGCACCATCTGGTTATTAAAAGAACTGCATCCCCGGAGGCAAGCAGGGGCTCTGATAAACTCCATGAAGCATCATCCTAACTCCCAAATATCTGTTCTGTCTCTTTCTAAAGAGCTAAGGAGTTCAAGTCAAAGGACATTAAAGCCCCTTCAGCTTGCATAAGAGACAAGAAACCTGCTTCTCACCAAGCAGGCCTAAAGCCCACAGACACCCATGGAAATAGGTATGTATTTCTCAGTCAAAAGCCTGAGTCCATGTCAGGGAAAATTTGAGTCTACCTCAGCTGTCTTTCTTCTCTTAGTCCTATATGCCCCATACCTATCTATATATCTCAGACTTCTTTGGAAAGGTGAACCTTGGCAAGATACTAAGCTCTCTAAGCCTCAGTTTCCTCACAGGCAAAATGGGGATAGTGATATTTACCTCAAAGGGTAATTGTGAGAAAATACACTGAGCCTAGCAGATAGAACAAACTAAGTGAACAGAAACTACAGTTGTTGAGTGCTTCTATATAGACAGAAGTGGAAGGACAGCAGGTTCATAAGAGGAGAGACAAGAAAGAAATATCAGCCAGGTGCAGTGGCTCATGCCTACAATCCTAGCACTCTGGGAGGCTGAGGCAGGACGATCACCTGAGGTCAGGAGTTAGAGACCAGTCTGAGCAAGAGTGAGAGATCCCATCTCTACAAAAAATAAAAAACTTAGCCAGGCATGGTGGCACATGTCTGTAGTCCCAGCTACCCAGGAGGCTGAGGCAGGAGAGTCGCTTGAGCTCAGGAGTTTGAGGTTGCAGTTAACTATGACGACGCCACTGTACTCTAGCCCGGGTGACAAAGCAAGACTGTCTCAAAAAATAAAAAAATAAACAAATATCAGTACAAGTGGACAGACTAACACATAAAGGATTTCTAAAAGCCATCTCCAAGACCAGCTCAGGTCACAGGAGAAAAAAACATGTACAATATTATGTTCCAAGAAGGCTGAGCAGATACATTAAAGACAATGCATGATCTGAAGGCATGAAAGTAAACAGTCACTTCACAAACTTTATATCCAGAAAGATACAAATGCAGTGCCATCTGTGGACACAGTCCTCCTTTTAATTTCACAGATTAGCCCTCCTGCAGGTGTAACAGCTTTCATAACAATAAATTCCCAAGTCAAATAAAATACTGACCAAGAAACTGTAGATCTTTCATCTTTTGGGGTAATTTTTAATTGTAAATTTAGAATTCCATCATTTCCTCTAAGCAATGCCACTAAAATACATTAGCCTGAGGAGGGCATGCCTGTTTCATTGAAGATAATACCACACATCTTCTGAGATTAAAACTAAGCTGGCTTTTTCGTCTGGGTTCCTGACTGCTCCTTAGCTTTCAGTTCTTCTAGTTTCTTCTCATAGCGACTCATGAAGTAATCATCTGGTTCAATCCCTGCATTCCTCAAATTTTCCATGACTTTTTCTAGTCTGAGCACCGATCGGGCTCCCTCAATCTTTCTTGTGCTCAGGTACAGAGTGAACTCCTGGAAATCCAGGAGCTTACAGGTGTCCACAGAGCAGATATTCCTGATATCACTACTTCTATCCAAATGAGGAAAAAACACCAGTCCTGACAACTTCTCCAAGTCCTGGAGGCTCACTTGGAATTCAGTTAACTGGGGTTGGAAGCCAATAGCTTCATTGGGCACCACAAAGGCCCCTAGTGCCAGAGGTTCAGTAGATACTGCGCTTCTGCGGGCCAAGATCACCTTATAAAGGTGTGAGGGGACTGCCACGTTGTCATCACCAATCACCTAAAAACAAAACAGTCATATTAGCAACTCCAATTTGTGTTAGCAATTCCCAAATTTTTCCTAAAAAGACTTAAACATTTCTGAAAATTCAGTTATAAGCCACCCTACCCTATCCCAATGAATTTAAATTCAGTTGCCAAAGATAATAAACCAAAATACAGATTCACAGACAAGATGAGTATCTAACAGGTTAATTCTGATTGCCTCTTTAAAATAATGCCACCCCAAAGAGCAGAGGTCACAGTTTCTGCTCTGTTTGTAGGACAAAGGACAAAGGAATGCCATGAGTGAGTCTTGGTTTTTTAATGGACAAGAAAAGCTGTCATTTTCTCTTTATCTCATAATCAGAATTTCTGGTACTCTAAACATTCAAAGGTCAAAACTGCTAACTTGGGTACTCCCAGCTCTAGAAATAAAAATATGGCCTTAGTTTATCAAATTCACTTAAGGAACTAAACAAATAGCCTTTAGAGAAGCAGCCAGACACCACATTAACATTACTATCTCTGGTATTGACTAGATTGTGGCTCATTTTTTTAATTAAATTGAGTAAATGTAAATGATGTTTGCTCAGAGTTTTATACACTCAGGCTTGCTATCAAACACAGAACTTTTGACTATGTTGTCAAATCACACTTTGGAAAAGTATCCACACAATAAAGAGACCAGAGCCAGGGACAGGCCTAGAAAATATAACTTAGTTGCCTGTGTGGTTTGGCTATATTCATGAAATAACATTATTATGAAACCTTTTCAGATTTCCTTCCAATTGGCTTAAAAGCCTTATCTGTTTTCTGAAAAACTGAATATCCATTTACTTAATGGTCCCCAATAAAATGACATAATCCAATTAAAATATGTGCATGGTATTACTTTCTTTCCCAGGCCCTTCCCTGGTAGAGTAGGTTTTCTTTCCTAATCAGATAGCTGTGCCTGTGGCAGGATTCCTTGTTGAGGCTCCTAAATAAGACAGAGGGATGAGCGCTACAAAGGAGGATTCTTTTCTGCTTTTCCCAAGCTCCTACCTACATGGCACACAGCCTGGGAACTCCACAGCCATCTGCTGTCTGTCACACATGGAGGTCCCACTGCCAAGACCAACTGCAGGACTGCAGGGAAGACCCAAACACAGGAATGACTTCTATAACCAATTGTCTTTGAAGTTACTGAAAGTGATTGGTCAGAATGTGATGTAGAGTAGTCTATGAAACTATACAGTCTACAAGACTAAATCCCCACCCTCACCCCAAAAAGTCATTCATGTACCTGGGAAAATAAACATACTCTTCAAAGCAAAAAAATATACTGAGAGTGAGCCCTATGGAGGTCCACAATTAGCCCACAGATCACCAAGAGATGTTAATTCAACACTGCAACTCAGAGGTCCTGTTCTTGGCACTGCTGGAAGTACAGAAAGGAGTAAGTTTTAAAGTAAATGTAGCTGGTGCCTACTCCCAAGAAACTTATCATCTGGAGGGGGAGCCAATACCCACAGTTTTCACTGCAGGCAGAATGTGGTTAGATGCCAATATAGCACACAAATAGCAGCACTAGAGGGGTTCCAGCGGAAGTGGGGGACCAGAACTGAGGGCACAGCTGCAGCTGGGCCACAGTTCACAAGGGGGGAGAAGTTGAAATGGGCTTCAAGTGTTCCAGGAGCTAGCTGAGGATCCAACACTTAAGCAAATTCTTGGTGCCACCTCGTGGACATTTCCCATCGCTGCAGCACAGTCCGCAGATTCCAACCATTCCCTTGATTATTTTCTCTCCTCATGGACTCCCTGTCTACAAACAAATGGCAATTTCCAAAAATAATTAACTGGTCATGTCCATATGCTGCCAACAAGAGCTTCAAATCAGGCTCACTAAATTCCAGCCAAAAGAAAAGAAGTGTGACATTTTAAGTACCACAGCTTTACTTCACGGAAAGGTATCATTTCTATAGGTTTTTAAAACCTCTCATAATAGCTAAAAAGGACTTCCATTACTACTTTTGAGCAACCTCATGGACATAAAAATTCCTATTAGGAACCACAAGGTGTGATCCTTCTACCCATTACCTTCTCAAAATATTTCAAAAGGGTAAACTACTATCCCTAGAAATAAGGAGAAAATTAAAAACGTTAACCATTCACTATCTCTTCTCTGATTCAGTGTGCTTGGTTCTTAAGAAGCAAACATCTCTAACCTGTCTAAAACAGGGACCAGTCCTTTCTGGAAATTTAGAAAACCCATTGCTTCTTCCTTGAATTTAAGATAATTTTTTTAAAAATTGATCTTAAAATATTTTCAGGCTATCTTCTTCTTTGTATATAATTCAACCTGCGTAATAAATTTTTCTCACTTTGGGGAAAATTGAAAGACTTCCAGAAAATGTTTCTAAACACACCTAGGGGTGCTGAGGCAGAATGGTTCAGTGGATTGAAGCCCAGAGACCTGGTCATTTATAAAATAGGTAATAGCAATACCCATGCTGCCTCTCTCATGAAATTGTTAGGAAGATACATACAATGACACGTTAGTTTAAAAAAAATTTTAAATATGCAAGACTATGTAAAAAGCTATTTCCATAGTGGACATCACTCAAAAGATGGGGACTACAACTGCACTGGGTACAAAAGATGGTTTTGCAGAGGGATAGTGGGGAAACATGGAATCAAGCAGGATTAGACCAGTTGAAAGTCAACAATGGGGTTTCAGGAGAAGAAAGCAAGTTGGACACAAACGACGTCCCAAACAAAGGCTCGAAGGCTTAACAAGAACCTAGTATTTAGTGTTAGTAAATCAGCAACAACCCTTTTTCATGTAAGATTTAGGTATAAAAATCCTTTACAAAGGAAACCCTCACTGTTGTTAAATTACTAAAAAGCACTAAACTCGTGTCAAGATTGTAACAAAAATTGGAAACTGACTGGGAATAACTAGAAAATACAATACATAAGCTGGCACTCGCTCACAACCTGAAGTTAGCTTTCTTATATGCTGGCCTGAGCTTGTTCCTTCGATAAGAAACAGAAATGACAATTTGCCACCAACATCCCATCCCCCCTGGCCCCAGAAGAGACCCACAACAAACAACACCCACACTAAGCCTGCTGTTTTTAATGTCATATATACAGCAATTGTGCCTTAAATTAAATATTAAGTAGTACTCTAAGGAAAAAATATGTACCTGTTAGAATCAGATATATATATTTACGACAAAAAAAGAAATTCCAAAAATAAAACTGCTGGGACACATCAAGAGACTAATAAGCCCTTAAAAAGTCATGCCAATCAAGTGAAAGAAAGAAAGGATGGTAGTTTGATAAATAAGGAATCCATACCTGAGAGGAGAGAAGGAATGAGAAAAGTGAGGGAATCACAAGGTGTAGGAAAGTCAACAAAAATGTGGTTGCCCCTTGTGTTATCTTTAAAGCCTCAGCAATGCTTGGCGGCAGCTCAAACCCTGGAAGACAGTACTTCTCACGCCTGCTCTGGGCCAATGGGTAGAAGCCTATTAAGTCACAGTAAAACAAGTGCCTTCTTCCCAGGCTGTCAATAGTACTTGAAGATTTATGTGGCGGGGTGGGGGGGAGGTTGTAAGGAGACAACCAGTAAAATAATTTACTTTTCATTCAAACAAATAGATATGGAAATGAACAAAAGCTTTCCCTAAATACAAAACATAAGACTTAAAAAAAAAAAAAAGACTCCCTTTTCACTTCAGGTGATGCCTCAAGACTCCCGGGGGCATGTTTTCAATTTCCTCCCACTCTAGGGTTGGTTGGTGGAAGTTTGGAAAGTGCTGCTAGAGAAGGAGAACACAGATTGGCAAATACTTCTAACATTACCAACACCACTGAGTTGTAAAATCTGAAGCTCACTTTCTTGTCAGGTCATTTATAATGTCCAAGCCAGAATCTTCAGGTATGTTTCAATAGTCTGGAATCAGTCTCTTCTTGAAACAGGCACATCAGAGAAAGCACATGGATGACCTCAGCTATAATAAAGGGGGTGATTCTGATTAGAGCTGTCAGATGACTCAAGTATGATAAAATCATCGCTACTAATCTTCCCGTAGGCTCACATTCACTCAAGTTCTATGATGATGTGATCCCTTCCTACATATTCTAACAGACATTTCTGCCTGGCTATAAGGAATCCTCTTCTTGGCCCACTTTCTGTTCTTATTTTTGATTGCTAGCAAATATCACTTGCAACTACTCTCCATCCACACCATCTTTTATTACCTGATGGCCTTAAGCTTTTATATATGAAGAGCACAGAAATCCTTTATTGTAGACTTCTGAGAGCTTCAAAGAACAATGCTATGAATCGTTGGCAATTGTCGGACAGATCCATGTTTGGATCCCCCCTTTGACAATTACTAGCTATATGCCTTGGACTTGACCCCTTAAAGCCTCTATTTCCTTGTCTACAAAGAGGATGACCACTACTTTTTTGTAAGGGCTGAAGTGAAGACTGAATAGATAGCATATATAAAGCTACTTACATACCACCTGACATACACAGCCTTCAATAAATGTCAGTTCATTTGTTTCACTTCCTCCAAAGTAAAAATGCATATATGCTTCATTGCCTAGATAGAAAACTAAATAAACTCTATTTTTATTGGGGACATTCTCTTAAAATAAGGTTCAGAGTATAGTTGTAAACAAGTAGTAAATATTAAATGGCTAGATTGGAGAAATTAAAACACTTGGCAAGCATTCTGAATTGCCATACATAATTACAAGACATTCCTTTGGAAAGAGGAATTCACGATTCAAATTATTTGTTCCTTGGAGGAAGAGACCAGTCTCTAGAGCTGGGCAATGCTATGTCCCCGTTCCCAACAATCATCAAAGGACATCGTTTTACCCATATTTGCTCTATTATGAATTGCCTACTTGTAAGAGGCCCTGTTTGCTAGAGAATAGCCTGAATTTTTTTAGCCTGTCATTCAAGGTTTCTGCCACCAGGCCCCAACCTTTCCTTTTTCTTTTGTATTCTTCCCT